TCCTTATCAGAATTTATACTGATTTATTTTAACCCATCCTGCTAAGGACATGAACAAGGCACTACTAGAAAACCCCTTTTAGTTTATTTTATTGTTGAGACTTACATATAACTGTTCTCTAATGTGTGCTAGGTTCTCCAATTAGTGCAAATAGCAAATGTGCTTTGTTAGTACTTAACTGCATTTAGCACTTTTCTGATTTAGGTCATGGCTTTGCCAGAGCAGCAGAGGAAGTCACTCTCAAAAGAAGCATTAAAATCACAGGCCGCAACCGCCCTGGTAAAATAATGAAGGAAATGATAGGGCAGAGATTAAGTCAGTGTTCTTGCCTTGCAGTTTTAGCCTACGTCTTTTTCAGTTTGACTTTTGTGTTTGTGGCAGTTACAAACAAATCTGTTGACATCTCCCCACAAATTAGGAGCTTATTAGCTCGCTTGGATAGAGTATGGTATTAGAGGTAAAGTTCTTAACAACGGTTGTGCACTTATATTATGTCCCAGACTGTGTGCTATTTCTTGGAGACACAGAGTTGAACGTGACAGTGTCAGCCCCCAAGGAAAACAGACTTACAAGCATACAATTATAATTCACTTTCTCAAATATAACAGTGGGCATAGGTGTAGTACTTTCTGGGTTCAAGCATCCAAAGATAGTGATATAGGTCAGGCCAGGGTTCTAATGTGAATGGCGGTGAGGGTTCCAGAATTTCTGCACAGAGAACCTGAAGGGTGGTGATGTGGCTGCAAGTGGGATGTTCTGAAGCTGTTTGCATTTCAACAGTGTTGTACTTAGATTTAATATATGTTTCATCTGGACTTGGGGAGGCACAAGCTAAGTGTTAGTGGTGGCTAATGGGCTGCTAGTGTTAGTATGTCCATTCTGTCAGTTAGCACAGTGTCTCATAGTCCTGCTTCCAACACTTCTAGCTGTGTGGCCTTGGGTATTTAACCTCTCTGTACCTAGTTTCCTCATATGTGAAATGAGGATAATAATATATACTATAGGTCATATTAACCTTGAGTGAACTAATGCATATAAAGCATTTACAGCTGTGTTTAGCTCACAGAAAGTAAATATTATTCCTTGGCTTCCAACTTGGTAAACGTTGTACAAAGAAACCTAGACATTAAAGAAATTAAAGGTCAATAATTTTGAACTCAGAGTGGGGAGAACTGTGCATATCGCCTCCCCAAAAGCAAGAAATGGAGCTAAGGACATGCTCCAAAGTGGATCACTCCAAACTCCTGGACAGGGGACAATTCTTTGAACAGCCTGTGGGAATCTCACTCCCTTTCATAGCCTCCTTTCTTCCTTTTTGCCTTCTCTGGAAAGATGAACCTAATACCAGTTCAAAAATGCCATGTTAAGTCACTGCTCGTTAAGTGCAAGCAATAAACTCTACCCTTGACTTTCTAGTTTTGCAAGAAAAATTGAAAGATGAGTTTTCATAAATCCATAAACACTTCAGTGGGAAAAAAATTGTTACATCCCAGGGTTTCTGATAAGATTTTGTAGAAAATCAGCTTTTTATGCAAATGTCAGCAGTTTTTCTTTAAAAATAAAATGAACCCAAGTATATAGTTTAAACAAAATCAAATACAGGTTAAAACAACACAAAGAAACATAGAAAAATATGTTGGTGTGAAAACAAAGCAAATTCAACAGGACTTTCATTTATTTGAGTAATATTTGCAGATGGAAGTTTGGTATTGTAATTTAAAACGGCATTGATAATCTAGATTAACATATATTTTGCAATTGTTACATTTAATTACTTCTAATTGTTTAATGGTTATTGCTATTCTTTGCATGTTTGGTGCAAATGTTTTCCGGCAAACTTTTAAGGTAAAACTAGAGATTTGCAGGGCTTTTTCTGTTACTGAGAGTTAAGACAAATCTCTCTCCCACAAAATTGTCATTCTGCTTTTTTATTTATAGCCTGCCTCTGCATTTAGCCCCTCTCTTTATTTTTTCACCTGATTTTCTAAAACTATGTAGGGAATCTTCTTTGATTTCATTTTTTATTTGGATTTGTTATTGCTCATTTGTTTGTGGAGGAGGGCTACACAAATCTGAGACCTTGGGTATTGTTCCAGTATCATGTAGTTCAAGGATGTTTTACTCACAGAAACTCAGTGCTATTTTTTATGCTACATCTTTGAAGTAGAGTAAGTTTGCCTTAAGTGATATTAAAACACTAGTGTTTCCTTTTTTCTAGTTCTTACAAACAATTCCAATAGTTGGATAATTATGGTTTCTCCTATTGTAAATATTTATCTCCAAATTTATAGAGATTTTAATAAAAAACATTTTATATACATACTTTTATGAGCTAACAAGACCAGAAATAAACTTTTTTTTTTTAATCCTCTCTACTTGTATGGAGCTGACAGAAGACTTTCTGTTTTTTCATGAAAACCGAAACATACATCATGCAGCAAATATTTGGACTGTTTATAAATAAAATGTTAGAAAATATTGAGCTACGATTTTGGAATTTAAAAAATAAGTTTCAGGTTGAAGTTGAAATGTGTTTTCTCATTTCGCGCATTGTTGCCTTCCAAAAAGTAGTTCCCTTAGGACAATATAATAAGGTTTTGAAATACCCAGAAGAATGTTTTCAGATTTTATATGAACTTAAAACATATCTAGCCTTTTCACGGAGTCCATAGTGTTAAAGTTACTGTGACATTAATTAAATTGAAGTTATAATTTAGAAAGTGCTTTGAATAGCTTTGAAAGTGCCAGATATGCAGATATTTGTCCTTATGTCAGTCCACC